CTTTCTTTCTTTCTTTCTTTCTTTCTTTCTTTCTTTTCTTTCTTTTCTTTCTTTTCTTTCTTTTCTTTCTTTTCTTTCTTTTCTTTCTTTTCTTTTTGACGCTGTTTTTATCTTTAAAGCACTTTACACGAATCTTTCCGTGATTTCATTCTCTCTGAGCTAAATTTTCTTATGAGGGAGGGAAGGGAAGTAATTAACCGTGGTTAAATAATGTTTTATCGGGCTCCGATAAGCCTAGGGGCGCGGGGGCACAGGGAACCGTGATGCTTCGTTTCGAGACTTGAGGCTATCGGGACGTACAATAAATACCCATCCGTCCATCAGTGTCGAGGGGAGCCAAGGGCTGCAGTCCCACTCTGCAGCCTTATTCCCGTGCACGTTCACACCTCGTACGACAAGGACCGTTGTCCAAAGCGACCGAGGTCAGGCGTCCCCTGATCTCGTTGTCGCCGATAGCACAACGATCTCTCCCCCAGGACTAGCAACAACCGCAGTCGTCGAGGCCCGTGCAGGACCCTGTATAACAACAATAGTGCAAAGTGGTAGAAGAGTTGCTTTTTTTTTTCTTTGTGTTTGTATCTTTCAAGATGTTTCTACAATTTTGGATACATCAAATTTAATTCCAAAATATACAAAGAGTAAATAAAAGAGGAAAAAAAACCCTCAAAACTTTTTACACTCTCATGCGGAGGAAAAATGCATCAAATATAGCATTCTTGCAGACAAAAGTCATTGTGCACTTCTAAAAACGATGGAGAACAAAATTCGTTTTCAAGTTTCTGTAGTCGAAAGTGCAGTTCCTATCGGGGAGGGAGAAGGGAAAGGGAGAGAGGAAAACGTCCCTGAGACAAATGGCTATTGCTACCAATGTGTGAGTACACGGCCGCTCCTTTGGAGTCCAATGTTTTACAGGGAGTCTATAAATTAAGAGCAAGAAACGCAGGAGAATTAAAATCAGGCGGGTGGTGACGGCTGTAGGCGAAGGGATTGCGGGAGGGACGCGAGGGAGGCTCCGTCCGTGCGCGCGCGGGGCCGGGGCCGCGCAGCCGGGTCGGCCCCCAGCAGCAGCCCGAGTGGGTCGCTGTGCCCCCCGCGGCGACGCCTTTCAGGAAGACCCCGAGCTGGGAGAGGCCTCAGGTGAGGTGCAGTTGGACTGATCCGATGCTTCGTTTGCTTCTTTCGCAGACCTGGAAGTGGCAGCCGGGGCTAGACCTTCCTTTTCCCTCTTCTTCTGCTTCATCCGCCTGTTCTGGAACCAGATCTTAACCTGCGTTTCGTTGAGCTCCAGGGTAGCAGCGATCTCCACCCTTCGAGCCCGGGTGAGATACTTGTTAAAGTGAAACTCCTTCTCCAGCTCCGTGAGCTGCTTGGTAGTGAAGTTGGTGCGGATGGTGTTGGGCTGGCCCAGCAGTCCGTACTCCGACACTTTAGCTGTTAAGGAGCAATCAGCAACAGGGCAGCAGCAGCCAAAGCGAATCCCTGGCCGGGGACACTGTGGGTGCCAGACAGCCCCCCCACCCTCACCCCCCTCCGCTCCCCCGGTTTCCGAGGCATTTGGTCCCTGCATCCCCCCCAGTTTGGTCCCCTCCCCCGGTGCCTGAGCTCTCCCTGGCCCCGCAGCCCAGGGATGTCACCTGGAGGGCCAGGCAGCCTCGGACTCTACCAAGCCACACTCCTCCCGTGAACCCAGTGCCCCGTGTCCCCTGCAAACTGCCATGAAACGTGAATGCGCGTGGGAAGGAGGGGAAGGGGAGGGCGAGGATGGGGGGAGGAGAGAACACCGGCAGTAAGGAAGATTGTAGAAAAGGAGGATGAATAATAGGGCAGATGGTAGCCTCAACTGTGGAAGGAGCAGGAAACCTGACGCGCTTCCTATTTCGAGCTGGACTTAAATCGCATCGGACCTGTGGGAAGCGGAGCCCGGTGCCCCTCCACGAGACGCCCCTGCGGTGGCTCTAGCTGGCCTTGCTGCAGCTGGTGTTTAAATGCAAAGGAACCCGCGCTCCCCGGGAAGATGAGCCTTGAGTGGCAGCCCCGGGGAAGGGGACCCTGTCCGGCTGTCCCTGCCTCCGTCCCCGCAGAGCTCTGCGCTCGCCACACTCACCTGTCTTGGGCGGGTTCCTCTTCACTCGCATCCAGTCGAAGGTCTGCGCGGCGTTGCCATTGGGACACGGCTCCGGGGGACACGCGGGGTCTTTGTCCTCGCTTAGAGCAGACGAAAGGTTGCTGTAGACCGCGGGCAAGTAGCTGGGCTGCTCCTGCCCGTAAAGGTGCTGCTGGTAGTGGCCGCCGGCCGCCGCCTGCCCGCAGTAGCCCTCAGGCAGCGAGCCGAGGCCGGGGCCCGCGGCGGCCGCGAAACCCGGCGCTTGGAAGTAGGCGCCGTCCGCGTCCTGCTGGCCGAGGTAGAGCTGGTGGTGCCCGTAGGCCGGGCCGCAGGTCTGCGCCGGGTACCCGGCGGCGGGAGCCGCGGGCGCGAAGGGCCCGGCGCGCCCGGAGGAGGGCGGCGCGTAGCCCGGGCTCGGCGGGGGCAGGTGGGCGGCGGCGGCCGCGCTCCCGCCGGCGCCGAAGCGCCCGTCGCCGGGAAAAGTGTCAGTGACGGTGCTACCTGAGCAAGCGGGGAAGGCCGGGGGGCTCTGTTCTAAAGGGTGGTAGGCGCCTGTCCCACGGTTACAAATTGCGTACTCTAAGAAGGAGTTCATCCTGGTATTGTCCATCTGCCACTGATGGAGGAGGGTCAGCCCGTTTTGGGGGGATCCCGCCCGCCCTACAACCTTTAGGCACTATGTCAAAGCTGGACAACTTCCTGGCACGCATCGCTAGCGCTCGAGGCCCGCAGCCCTCGGCGGGGCTTGGGCTGGGGGCTGGGGCGGGGGCCACGTGGTCCGGGCCGAGCCCAATGAGCGCGGGGCGCCCCAAGTTTGTCGCATCTCGGAGCTCATCCATCAAGGCCCTGACATTTGCATGACAAAGGGGTTTCAATCAAACCCTGCCCATCAATCTGATAACAACACGAATACGTCAAAATCTTTCCTCAAAGACTTTAAAAGAGAGAAGGGAGATGGGGTGCGGGGAGGTGGAGGTGGAGGGGAAGGGAGGACGGGGGGAGGAGGAATTACAATTATACACGACTGTTTTAAGTATTAAAAAAGCTCCCAAGTTATCCGACCAACAAATTTCATCAGGACTTCCGCTTCCCGCAACTTAAAAAGTTCTTTTCTCCAATTCTAGCTCCATCTGAAAGAAAAAAAAAAAAAAAAAAAAAAAAAAAAAAAAAGACAGATAAAGGATATAGAGAGATTCTCCCAACTACAAAAAAAAATAAAATAAAATAAAAATAAAAAATCTTTTCTTCATTTAGAACCTGGCTCTGTAAAGTGACTTGAACATGTTTGAGATGTTTGACTCTCTGGGCTGAGAAGTCTACGAAAAGCACCCAGTTGAAACTAAAATCCTCCATGTGTTTTAGTTTTACCGCACCAGCTTTGTGTCTAGAGCCTGTATCGGTAAAAGCTGTGTAATTAAATCAATATTCTAATGAGGTGATSAAACAAAGTTAGGAACACAGAATGTCTTTTGTTGCAGAAATACCGTACACAGCTCAGTAACAGGAGGAATGGGACTGAAAATTATCTCTGTGTCTATCAACTTAGCTATCTTTTTATGCATCTGCTCATCCATACGGCTAGTTGTGTATTTACTRTTGAAAACAAGAGCTGTTTTTAAGGGCTTTAAGTAATCCTCGAACCTTAAGCTCTGTTTTTCAGTCACAAAGCAGGTTTGATCTTTTCCTGAATCTATTGTAAGACTTTAATTTTCCTCTAGCAGAGTCCAGCTGAGGAGTAGGTGGAAAGACACAGACTTCAGGCCGGCCACTCCGCTGCTCATAGAATGGAGACATAGGTAGGCAACATTTATTTACTTGTTAGCAGAGGGATGACAAGAGCACCCAACAATATGACGCCCACAGTCATTTGTTACTTGTCAGAATATTTACTGGTTACTCRGGCTTTAAGAAGAACCAGAGGGTTTCTTTTTTTTCAGGCCAAAAGTTCACTTTGAAAGGCATAAACTTGTTCTCTAGTTCAGGGCTTTGGCTGATGCAACACGTTAGGGTAACGTTTGTTAAGAAACTGCAGTCCATGCAGCCATGGCATGAGCCCTCCTCCCGCCTTGAAATTCCCGGGGAAAAAAAAAAAAAAAAAAAAAAAAAAAAAAAAAAGTAAGTTTTAGCAAGCTACATTTCTCCTCCTTCAATTAAAAGTAAAAAATAAATTTAAAAAAAAGGAGAAAAGTATTGCCAGTGCTGCATGGTTATTTATTAATTTATCCAGTGGACTCTGCTGATGCTGAGATAATCAAGAAGCAAAGATTTAAAGTTGCAAATGTTCTCTGAACCTCTACAACTCTTTTTTTTTTTTTTTTTTTTTTTTTTTTTAACGTGAAACAACCGAGAGTGTATAAAGATTCAAGGCGACTCTCATGTCCTTCCCTTGTAAGAGGAATCGGTTTACAATTTGATTCCAGGGGTGCTTTTTATTTTATGTTGCGTTCATGTATAAATTGAATGTATTATAATTAAACGACTCTTACAATAGATGATTTATAGATTTTAAATGGAAAAAAAAAAGAAAAAGAAAAGAAAAGAAAAGAAAAGAAAAGAAAAGAAAAGAAAAGAAAAGAAAAGAAAAGAAAAGAAAAGAAAAGAAAAGAAAAGAAAAGAAAAGAAAAGGAGAAGTGTTTATTTCAGCTTAGAACTGATTGTTTCGTATAGTCTGATAATTTTCCACGGTGATCTCACTCCAGTGTTACATTAAGAGGATGCTTTATGTCATTACAATACAGCTGTGTTATGGAGTTTCAAAATTAGTTCCGAGAGAGTTCACTACTGCAGATTTACAGAGGCAAAAAATAATAATAGCAGTAAATGGAAAAAAAAAAAAAAAAAGATGAAACTTCCCTCAGTGAAGCCTAAACCAGACCTTAGATCTGGGGCCGTTTTGAGATAAAAACAGTGTTTCTTTGGCATCCAGATCAATCGACCAAGTCGCGATCCACATTCTACCAATGAAACACATCAAATATTGGGACCCGAAGGGAGGCTGAAATACCGTCCTTGCACTTCTGGGAACCGCTGCAAATAGTTATTATCTTCATAGCTTATTGGCGAAAGGGAAGGTTTTGGTGAAGCTGCTCCCGAGATGGAGCGGAGGCTGCTGCACCCTATTTTCAGACGCCCCAGCGCTCAAGCGCCGGCAGCTGCGCTTGGGAATCGCTTCCCCAAATTTCGTTCTTCGCTCATTTCCATGGATTCGATATATAATCGCTTCTGTCGTTATTACTGGTTATAATTCTCGTCGTGGAAACGATGTGAGACACATTTTCGGTGCAGAGCATCCGAAATGCGAAGGAAGGAAATATCAGATTATTGGTAGCCGATCTCCCGGTGAAGCCGGTTCTGTTGTCACATATTTATTCATTTAAAACACCCACTATGGCAGATTGAGAGGGGAGGAGGTCAAAACAATATAAGAAAATGTGTAAGTGGAGATCCTCGGAGCTCTCTCCTCCCTTTCTCCTCCCCCGCCTCGAATATATTTAATTGGCCATTACCCTTTCATTATATTTATTGCTTAATTTTCCCGTATTTATTGTGGGAGACAGTAGCGTCAGTAATTGCTCCTACCCCCTAGAGCACAAGAGGCACCGTTTGGGGACGGTGCTGTCGTTCACTCAATGAGATTAAAATAAAATATCAGGAGAGGGCGGACGGGGCGGGGGCCTTTATAGCTCTTCGGTTCCTGGGAAAGGAATCTGTGCTGGCCAGGACACTGGTAGGGCGGTCAATGAGAGGAAGAGGAAATGACTTCGTCGCTCGCTGGCTCGGGTTTCTTGCCTGGCACGGAGTGTCTGAGCCTCGCCAGGAAAGAGCGGCTTCCCTGGGCTTGGTTTCCCGGCCCGTGGCGCAGGGCTGGCGGGGGCTATGGCGCTTCGGGAGGAGCTGCCGGCCCTGGGGTCTTCTCGTCCCCCCGGGGCCGTTGGGAAACCCAGCGAGGGCAGCAGCAGGGGACACGGAAGAAATGAGACATCTCCAAAGGCTCCAGAGGTCCCAGGCTTCACATGCTTCATTTGGAAATTAAATATAAGCATTAAGTATAAGTTTTAAGTTAAATATAAGTATTAGGGATAAGTCAAATTTAAGTTCGCGTCGTGCGCAAGAAATATCCTCACTGGCTCTTGATGGAGTGCGCGAGAAGCAGGGCTGCGGGCTGGCATCGTTAGCGCCAAGGGAGAGTTGGCCTTGGAACTGGCCGAGAAGTTTGTAGTCCTGGCGCGGGTCCTGGGCCACGCAAGACCTCTCGTGGTTTAATGGCTAGGGTTTAAAACCTGAAATTATAGCTCAGAAAGGGCTTCGCGGTATGTGCGCCCAAAGAAATGCCGCAGAGTCCTTAAGCATCGGGCTATCCCCGTGATGAAGAATAAATAAGAGTTAAGAGAAGATTGGAAAGTCTGAGTGGAAAATATCTGTTTTTGACCTTCTTTCTTGGGGTGGCACAAACCTTTCAGCTAAGGAGAAGGATCCATGTCCCCCCAGTCTCCCTGCAGCGGCTCCGGGAACCTGCGCCCTGGGTCCCTAACGCTGCGGCGGGAAGGGGGTTGGCGCTCTGGGGGGCCGAACCGGCCGCAGCTCCGTGTGTAATGCGGGTGATCACGCTCATTAGCTCATTAGCGCCATGGGGCCTCTCTCCCTGGCTGAGCTGGGGGACAGACCCGTATCGGCTACAGAGCCCGGGCGGCCCACGGGGCAGCGGCATCACTGTGGGGGGCAGCGAGGGGACRGCGGCACCGACCCCGCAGGGTCTGCCCAGAGGGAAACCCTTGGAGCTCCGTAGAGCTGTCTGCACCTGGCAGGGCTAGATCCACCTACACCCACCCTTTAACTCACGTGCATGCTTTTATTAATCATCAATATTGCTAATATGAGTAGCTCAGCGTGATTAATATTAACTGATGTTATTTTAAGTCGTATCGTTTGAAAAGCTATATTCATTTGGGACTACAGGGTGAATTCGGGAAGCAGCTTCTCTGGACGGGACACAGTGATTTCCTCCTCACTGAATATATAAAGGGAAAAAAAAGAAAAAAAAAAAAAAAAAAAAAAGGGCAAGCAGTGAGGAGGAGGCGGGACGGAGCAGGAGGAAGCTCCTCTCCCAGCTCCTTCTTCGGATACTGATGGAGCACTAAGTCACCATCAAGGGATAAAGATGACTCAGGTTTGGGATGCGGATGTGAGGGAAAGAGCTTGAGCTTTAGGGCACGGGACACCCAGGAACATTCCCGGCAAGGCAGATCCTGGCAGCGACGGCGCAAAAGGAAGGCCAGAGTGATTTCCCAAGGGAAGTTAAATCTCATCTCAAACGTTACCTGATCGCGCTCCCTCGTCCACGTTTGCTTTGGAGGTTTGTCTCTTCGGGCCAACCCAGGGCCCTAATGGTTCAGTTCGACATCCTAAGGGCCTTAGTAGCTCCTTAGCAAACACAATCCCGAACTAGATGAGCACAAGATAAATATTGCTCTAGCACCGCACGACACGTGCGAATGCCACTCATTTGCATGCTYCCGAGTTAGTAATCGCGAGGCAATTGCCGTGTTTTGACAACGATCAAGAGCTGAATATGCTTAATATGCTTAATATATGCCCTCCAGTTGCACAGAACAGAAGGCCAAGGTTGCAAATATGCATTCCCCATTTGTTTGACATTTTGAAGAAGGTAAAGAATGGCTGAACTAATGGCGAAATCGTACAGTCATTCAATAATTTAGATTTTATTGAATATTCCCCTTCTTTCCTCCGACATTTCAGTCTTGCTAATTAGGACAAATAAGAAGGGGCCTGCTGTTAGCAAGGATAATAACTGGCGAGGCTCCGTTTATTAAGCCGCTTTCCATGGGTGTGGGATTGATCTGCGGCTGTGCCTGGCGTGTCCTCCGGACCCGCAGCAACTTGGTRGAGTCATTACGAGCCGCAGCGCGCTCTCGTTAAGGATCTTTATTGATAAGATGTCAGGGTCTGGGGGGCGCGGAAGGGGGCTCTACGGGGAGCCCATGCGCGCCCCCACGCTGCCTGCGCGCTCCCGGCTCGCCCTTCCCCGCGGAAAGGGCACGGGTGGAAATCTGCTGCGGGATGGATGCGCTAAGGGAGGGAGAGTCGCGAATTGCAGGCGAATGAGCAACTGCGCTCTACGGAAAGGCGAAGSGGGAGCCTCCGGGCGCTGCGCAGGGCAGCGCGGAGGCAGCGCGGCCACTTTGGCATGGGCGGCTCCGACCTTCTCATCGTCGCCTCCAGCCAACCCACAAGCCCGTATTGAGCGCGGCGCGGGGGAGGGCGGCGGGGGAATCTCTAAAGCACTGGAACAAATGGCGCTTTGATAGAGAACGTCTGGCAGTGCCAACGCGGCCGCCGAGTATGTTCCAGAAGCTGGAGATATTAAATAAACTTAAAGATAATGAATAGCCTTCTGTGGAGCGCAGGATCCGCCGTCCCCCCTCCGCGGCTGCGCAGCAAGCGCCGGCCACCCGGGAGGGGACAGCAGGGGGCGAGGGGGGGGGATGCGCGGGCGCAGCGCAGCTCAAGGCGCCATAAATCGCGTGCTTGTCTCTGCGCGGAGGCGTTAACTAATATGTGCTTGAGTCTCGGAGCTGCTGCCTGCTTCAGCACAACCCGAGCCTTCCCCGGTGCAACGCCGCAGGTCAGGGACCTGCTCGCGTGTTGGGCGGGAAGCAGGCAGGGGACACTGGGGAGAATAAAGAGGTAGCGGTAAAATATAAAATATCCCCCTCCTCCGCTTTGTTTCATCGGGAGGAGACACCTCAGAGTCTCCAGCAGCTACTCCGAAAAACATCTGTCGCGGATTTCCTTTATCTTGTTTAATATCTCTTCATAGCCTGAAATAGAGAGAGGCCAGAGCTGAGGCTCTTGGTCAGAAATAAAAATATGGGGGCGGAAGTTTCGTAACCTCCGCGTTTTCCCTGGCGATTCATGTGGAGCGGGTGGCAGCACCCGAGCGCACCCCGAGCRCCAACACGAATCAGGCGGCTCCTCAGCCCTCCCTCCGCAGAGACCCCCCCCACCCCGCGCTGCGCTGCTCCCGCACCGTTTCAAGGCCTCCTCAGCGCCCCCCGGTCCCCGTTCGTCGCCTCCCAAATTTCTGCCGTGTCTGAGGAAACCCCAGTGACTTAGCAAAGACGTAATGTGATTTATTTTGGGTGTCACGGCGAGTGATTCTTGAGCTGACCCCTTTTTATTCATAAGCGTCCCCACCCCCTCCCTCCCCTTATACGAGTTTGGTATTTAAAATTCCATGGAGGAAGAAAGATTCCAGAGAGGGAGCGAGGAGCCAAGGCAGAACCGTACGAACTGCTACGGGAAGAGAGCATGCATTTACTGGGTTCCTGGTCTGGGCCGCTGAAGAGAAGGAGATGGGCAGGGGAAAGGGAAAGGGAAAGGGAAAGGGAAAGGGAAAGGGAAAGGGAAAGGGAAAGGGAAAGGGAAAGGGA